AATGCTGATTTTTTGTCACGTTTACCGATTGAAAATGATATAAATGACGTATGGGAATCAGTTGATGTTAATTACTTAAATTATTTTTCGGATAATGTTAACATTTCAATCAATTTTGAAACTATTAAAAAAACTACTGAATCAGATAAAGTTTTGAGTGTAGTAAAAAAATGTGTAATAAACGGCTGGCCGAAAAAATATAAAAACGATAACAGATTTAAAAAATTCTATGCAATTCGTCATCAATTAACTATAGAACATAATGTTTTGTTGTGGAACAATAGAGTTGTTATTCCTGAAAAATTAAAAAGTCATATGCTGTCGGAATTACATATGTCTCACTTAGGAGTTATTAAAATGAAAAATATGGCTAGAAATTCATTTTTTTGGCCGGGAATAAATAAGGATATTGAGAATTTAGCAAAGAGTTGTGCAAATTGCTCATTACATAAGACAAGTCCCCCTAAAGCTGAAATAAATCCATGGAAATGGCCTGACAAAGTATTCGAACGTATTCACATCGATTTTATGGGTCCATTTTTAAACAAATATTTTTTAATAATTCTAGATGCACATTCAAAATGGATTGAAGTTTTTCCAACTAACAATATTACGTCTGATTTTACAATAACAGTATTACATAATACGTTTGCTAGATTCGGTTTAACAAAAGTCATAGTTTCTGATAATGCTAAATGTTTTACGAGTATGTTATTTAAACAATTTCTAGAAAAATATGACATTGAACATGTCACTATATCTCCTTATTTCGCACAGTCAAATGAAGCAGCAGAAAATGCAGTTAAAACTGTAAAAAATGCATTAAAAAATTTTCTAGGTCGTAATAAAACTTTAAATATTGAGGAAGCACTTAATAACTTTTTATTTGATTACAGAAATACCAATCACTGTACTACCGGTGTTTTACCAGCAATGCTTATGTTTGGCAGAGACTTACGAACTCGATTTAGTTTAATAAAGCCAGGAATTAAAGAAAAAGTAAAAAAGAAAGTCAAAACTTGCCAACAAAATCAAATTAAGTATGCTGGCGGTAAAAAACGAGAATTCATGGTAGGAGATAAGGTTACTGTAAAAGATTATCGTGTTGTAAATAAGGTTAGTTGGATTCCAGGAATTATTGAAAAACGCATTGGCAAATGCACTTATTATGTAAAAATTCCTGAATTAAATGTTTTTTGGAAACGTCACACGAATCAAATATTAAAAACTAATGTACAGAGTGGATTAAAAGACTTAGACATTATTAGTGTAGATTGCAATAGTGAAATTTCCCCTGAGGGCGGAGATCACTTAACCGGAAGTGGCGGGGGTATTCAATCATCTACCAGTAGACCTAAAAGACTCATTAAACCACCTGATCGTTTAATGGATTAACTGTATATATTAGATAAGGATTTTAATAATGTTATGTTCAGTTATTAAAGACATTAGTATAAATGAAAATGTATATATTTTTTATGTCTTATTTGGTGGGGGAGAGTGTTATATATGATATATGTAAATACTTTCGAGTAACCTGGTATATATGTTGTACTATTTCTGTCAGCGAGCCATTGCTTTTTGCTCTTCTTTTTGTTTGTAAATAGCTGATAAAAATCTCGATGTACGGCTTTAGACAGACATTCCTTTGTATAAAATTAGCAAATAAACATTTAAAAATAAATGCGTTATAATTCATTACAATAATAATATAAAACTTACGTATTATATTTACCAATATTATTTCCTTTCTTTCGACGTGAAGACAAATAGTCCAGTCACTGAAGCATTTTAGCTACCAATTTTTTCGGATGGAAGACGTGAAATTTGGACTGTAGCAAGGAAATAGACCAAGAAACAAAAGTTATATAGTGCCGATGTGTGTTTTTACCCTAGAGGTGGATGCCACCCCTTCTGGAGGGTGGAAATTTTTTTATTAAAAATAACGATACGATAGAGGGACGAATTCTAAGCAAAAAATGTTCTACAGTGCTTTCGAAAAGTAACGAATAAATTCATTATTTTTTAAATTGAGAAGTTTTCGAAAAAATCCCCTGGCACGTCGCTATTTAAAAAAATTGTCGATGACGTCATATCTCGAACAACGATGACGTCACAAATATGTGACAACAAAATCGACGTGCCAGGGGATTTTTTCGAAAACTTCTCAATTTAAAAAATAATTAATTTATTCGTTACTTTCCGAAAGCACTGTATAAGAATTTTTTTGTAGAGTCGATACTTTGTGAGTTATTTGCGCCTAAAAATGTTCGTTTTTAGCCCAAAAAATGCATGTTTTTGAGACATTTTTCGCGAATATCTCAAAAACTACAAGTTTTATCAAAAAAATTATGAAGTTAATTAAATAGAAAAGAGATTGCTTTTTTATATTTTTGTAGGTGATATAGAACCAGAGTTATGACTCCCAGAAGCTGAAGTCAATTTCGGAGACAGCTATAATCGAAACGTTCAACGTCTTGTAGCAGAAAAATTAAAGGTTTTTCGAGGAAAACTTATATAACACAAGTTCTTGAAAAGACATTTAAATTGAGTTAGCATAAAAACTAAGGAAGTTACAATCAAAATATAATTATTGTTTTGATTTTTGAGAGAAAAAAATCGGTATTAAAATTATTGACTTGACGGAAAAAAAATTAAACGTATTCCTTCTGCACTTTATTTATGTATTAACAGTATATTCTGGAAATTTAAACGAGTTTAGAAGCCTAATTTTAAAAAAAAATCCTTTACTTTTGAATAAAATTTTTTAATTTTTTAAAAAATCGCCTTTTTTTCAAGATATTCGAAAAACTAACAGTTATAAAAAAAATTATAAATAAGAAATTGTAGGTTTTTTTTACTGAACAATTTGCTTTTTTAAATTTTTGTAGGAGAAAATTTGACTGATTAATGACAGAACTTAAAGTGATTTAAATTCCCTACAAAATGGTTTTTTGAGTTTTATAACTTTTATAAATTACAAGTTATGGAAAAAAATCAATTGCATTTTTTCGGTAAAATTTTCGGAGCGGGTAAATTACCATCATATTCGTGTATTTTGGAGCACTTGTGAACTGATTTGAGTATTTTAATAATATACATACACACACATTGCAACCAATAAAAATGCAAAAAAGCCTGCACCAGATGAACTACTTAGGACGATATTTTGCAATTGCAAAAAAGGATGCGGCGCAACTTGTGGTTGTAGAAAAGTTGGACTTTTTTGCAATCCCACGTGTGGTTCATGTTCTGGCGATAATTGTAACAATTGTCCTCCAGTTTTGGACTAAGGCGTGGCTGAAGATAGTGATGATAGTGATGAAAATTAAATATTTTATTATATACTTGTAAAACATAAATTTTTATAACATTTTGTACAGTACATCCATTTATTTTATAACGTATATAAAAATTTTTTCATTTGATATTAATTTTATAAAAAAATATTAAGAATAAATTCAATAAAATTAAAAAAATAATAATTATATCATCATACTCACATATAATTTTTAGGAAATTTTTCTATAAGGGGTAGGGTTTTTTATAAGGAGTAGATCTTCCATAAGGGTGTTTTGGGTGGCTGAAAAGTTGCAATATATTATTGATCATTTGAAAATCAATAAAAAGTTTATAATTCAACATATGCATACCATTAAAACATCTCAAGCTTTCAATAATACTTTTTTGTTTATTTTATTATAGGGGAAGGTTTTTAAGGATTGCAACTTCGTAATGAGTCGTAAGCTTTCTAATGGATAACAAAAGAAATGCAATACACTGTGAATGCACCAAAAGAATATTATAAATTGTAAAAACTTTTTTCTTCTATTTTTTTGGCCATGGAAGGGTAATTTTTAAGGATTTTTAAGGGTTGAAATAGTACATTTGTAACGAGTGGGGAAAAGTTGCCAATAGCGCCACGCGGACGCAGTTTACGCACGAGCGAAGCGAGTGCGGAAAGCGCCCAAATGGCGCTATGGCAATTTTTCCGAACGAGTTGCACTTACTATTTTCTATCACAAGTGCGAGTCGTTATGGGACCTATAGCGCTGGAGCTTTGCGCTATGAAAATAACATCACGCTGTTGTACTATCTAGCACTTTCAGTGCACCTAACCCCCTACACTATAGGTCCCATAGCGAGCGCGCGTGATAGAAAGTAATTAAATGTCATAAATTATATTAAAAAACATGAGAGGAACTTTATCCAACATATTTGAACATGAATTGAGTATTTAAAATACGTAAATCTGCGATTTTCGCATTTTTTTCCTGCAAGGGTAGTTTTCACTCCAAATAGAAAAAAGCACATATCTAGACAATATAACTTTTGAAGTGGAGATGAGGATGAGCTTGTATGCAAATTTTCAGGAAAATCCATGCTATCCGAAAAAAAAAATTGGGAGCTTTTACCTTATTTTCGCCTTCAGTGACTGGACTAAAACGTAACTATGATCGTTTAATTCAATACAGACTCAAATGAGAATGTAGATTATAATTAGATAGTTCTTCGAACACCGGTCCTGTCCGCAATTACCAATCTATAAAACATACGTAAAGAATTTAAAATATATTTGTTTCTGAAGTCGTAGACGTTCGGAATTTAGCATAGAAGTTTGAGTAATTTTTATCAAATCGATATACCTAATTTTCGTATAATTGCAAAGCTAAAAGCTTCCACTTTCCTCGTGTAAGCAATTTTTGATTTAAGCCTTTATTTTTAAACAAATAAATTGTAAATATGACGATTTCTTACACAGTTTACTCTTTATGATTTAAACAATAAAAAATTAATTTTGAAAAACTATTACACATCAGCTTTAGGAAACAACTTTGTTTTTGGATTTATTTCCAGCGCGCGACGGACTTTTGTCAACCGTTTTTAACTGAAAATTTATTTTATAGCACATAACTTTAAATGGCATAAAACCACATCTACTGCGACCACACAATTTTCATGACAGTGAACAAAGTATATAAAATATTTTATTCTTTCAGACGCTCCAACGTGCAAGTACGAGAAAGTGATGGTAGTAGGCGCTTCCCGCGGCGAGAGCGTGGACATCGTCTGCGAGATCGAGTCTGACCCGCCGGCCATGAGCTACCGCTGGAAATTCAACAACTCCGGAGAGACACTGGATGTGGCCGCCGAGCGCTTCGCCAAGACGAGCAACGGCAGCGTCAGCGTGCTGCGTTACACCCCCGTGTCCGAACTCGATTACGGTTCCCTGTCCTGCTGGGCCACCAACTCGGTGGGTCACCAGGTCAACCCCTGCGTGTTCCAGGTCGTCGCCGCAGGTAAAGAAACCTACAACTATAATAATAATAATAATATTAAGAAGGAAGATATCAGCTAGGGTTCTTACCAGTGGCGGCTGGAGCAGGGGGGAACTGAGCCACCCCCCCTAAGAATTTTTATAGTAAAACAATTTAATTTAAAATTTAGTTTACAATGTCATCTAGCTAGATAATTAAAATTAAATTAAATTAGTCTTATGAAACACATTAAAAAGTAAATGTTAAATTTGTAATAATAACCATTCACCGCTTGTTTTCTTATTAAACATAGCTTCCTGTGTGTTTTTTAAAGAATTGTATTAAATTGCAAAGACAAATAGCACTACTTGCAGTTTGATCTATTGTAAAACTAATAGTACGAGAAATACCAAACTTTAATGAAAAAGTAATTAAACAGTTTGTTTCGGACAAAAGCAAAAGAATGGACTCTCATTATAAAAAATAACGTTGAGCACATTTGCTTTGTATTTGTACTTAAATATTTCCGCCTTCTCTGATGTGAAAACCAAAAGCCGGCACTGGTTCTTACTATTAGTTTAAATTCTAAATTTTGGCGAATGCGCCAATGTTAATTAATAATAATTTACATTTCAGTTCACCTTTGGCATAAAATATTTAAATACGATATTTTTAATTGCAGAATTTTACTAAATACAGAATAAGATAACAAGAACAAAATATGTGCAAAATTTATTAGATATTTAGCAGGCATTACCCGTAATAAGGCATCAAAACCTTTGTTGCCTTGTACTATCATTTTTTGCTGCTCCTTACTTTAAAAGGTTAATTTTTTACAATTTTAAATTATTATGTATTGTTGATGTAGCAACATCAAATAAACCAAGTTTGGTTAGTAGTACAGCTTGCAGTATGTCAGTATTGACTGCATATGATAGGAATAGATGATTTGATTTCTTTTAAATAAAATTTCCAAAAACGATAGCAAATCCAATTACTTCTTCAAGCAGCTCTTTGTTTTACTGTTTTGTTCAACATTTAAAAAACAATAAATCGCAGACCCATCAAAGGGAGGTCCATCTAAAAAAAACTGCCGACAAGGCCGTATCTGTAAAAATAAATCTGTAGATGTTGGAAATTAAAGTACGTCATTGAAAAGAATAAAAATACTACAAAAAATTTTAGTTAAAGGTATTTTTTAATCAAACTTACGCAGGTGTTCCGACACATTTGTCCAACCCTATACAGGGTGTCCCGTTTAAAACTCCCCAGCTGGATATCTCGAAAACGGAAAAAGATAAATGATTTCTGAAAAATCAACTGTATAGTTTCAATAAATGACTTTACTTGTGAATACAAATCCCGTTCCTCTCAGTGCAGGTATAGATGTCGCTGCAATCCGAAAACATATTTTGTTGTCAGCAGTTTTGAAAAGTGGCGCATATGAAAGATCTCTAAATTATAACCAACTTTTGTGATATAAACAATTTTCGAAAAGCCACTTGTTTCCGAGATACTTGGATTTGAGGTAATTTTTTTTCCAGGAGGAATATTTTTAAAGTTAAGTTTTCAGGCATAACTACTGCAAATTTTCGTCGTATTAGATTGCTTTGAATAAAACAGTGATGAATTAATTTTATTTAACTAATAAATATCACAGGAAATTACTTTATTTAATCTTGTTTACGCAAATCATAGTCTTTTCGAACAAGATAAAGTAATATTTATTTAACAGAAACTGATGCAAAATTGACAAAAATTGTAAGTAAACGATAATAAATTAACATAATACACGAGTCACAATAAGTGTTCAAAATTGCCATTTTCATGAATACGTAATTCATATATTTTTCTAAGTTCGGTATCAGTTGCCCGTACAGATGCACATCTCACATAAATTTTATTGCACAAGTCAGCCAAGTCTTCAATTTCTGTTTGGTAAATTAGGTTCTTTAGGTAACCCCACAAGAAAAAATCGAGTTCGATTAAATCAGAGGTGCGGGCAGGCCACCTTATTGGACCATTGGTGCCCTGAAAATATTCATGAAGAAAATTTTGCACCCTCCTTTTGTTATGAGCTGGTGCCCCGTCTTGTTGGAACCAGATATTTTGTCTCATAACTAAAGGAACTTCTTCCAAAAGAACATTTAGTTGGATTTGAAGGAATTGTAAATAATTGCGACCGTTCAAATTTTCCTCATATAAATAGGGTCCAATTAATATGTCATTAATAATACCACACCATACATTTATAGAAAACGTGGTTTGGAAATGTTTGTCTTTGGTCCATCTAGGGTTACTATCATGTCAGAAATGGCTATTAGATATGTCTATTGAAAATGCCATTTTTTGTAAATCGCCTCTCGTCAGTCCATATAATGTTATTTAAAAACTGGTCGTTTTCTTGAGCCTTTATTTCCATTTCTGCAATAAAATTTAGTCCTCGTAGCATATCACCAGGACGTAAATTATGTAAAAGATGCACTTTGTAAGGATGATACGTATTTCGCTTCAATATATTATGGACCGATGTTCCGGAAATCCCCATTTCTTGTTGTATAGCTCGCACCGAGGTATATGGATTAGTTTCAATCTTACCTAATACCACGGCAGTGTTTATATCATTTGTAACAGTGTTTCTATGATGCTTATTTTTGTTAAAAGAACCACAATGAAGCAAATTCGTCTACAAAGACAAACAGGTTTTATGATCGGGATGTCGACGGTTTGGGTAACGTACCTGATAAAGTCTTTCTGCTTCTCTGGAATTTCTACGGCATTCACCTAATATTAAAATTATGTTGAGCTTTTCTTCATTCGTGTAGTGGACCATACTGAATAAATGTCAAATGTGTCAAAGTTGAAGGTGTAGACTTGTAGTTATGGTAATAGTAATATGTAATCAACTTTGACACTTCAAGAAAACAAAAGAAGGTTCAAGAAAACGACCAGTTTTTAAATAATATATGGACTGACTATGGATATTATTTGTAATTTTTATTAATTTTGCATCAGTTTTTGTTAAATAAATATTACTTTATCTTGATCGAAATGTCTATGATTGGCGTAAACAAGATTAAATGAAGTAATTTCCTGTGATATCTATTAGTTAAATAAAATTAATTAGTAGTTATGCCTGAAAACTTACCTATAAAAATCTTCTGGAAAAAAAATTACTTCAAATCCAAGTATCTCGGAAACTAGTGGCTTTGCGAAAATTGTTTATATCACAAAAATTGCTTATAATTTAGAGATCTTTCATGTGCGCTACTTTTCAAAACTGCTGTCAACAAGATATGTTTTCGGATTGCAGAGACATTTATACCTGCACTGAAAAGAACGGGATTTGTACTCATAAGTAAAGCCATTTATTGAAACCATAAAGTGGATTTTTCAGAAATCATTTGTCTCTTTCCGATATCCAGCTGGGGAGTTTTAAACGGGACACCCCGTATATGTCAAGCCATACAACATAGAAAATATTGTTTTGTCTTTATTCTATGCTTCTATGCCACTGATCATGATTTAATGAAATTCTGTAATAAATTTCAGACTTCACACAAAAGTTAGAAAAATATAGGTTAAAGCCTAAAATTTTTTAATAAAATACTTATTTATTCCAGCTTTTTAACAACTGACAAAGAGACGTTAAAATTATTGTATTTACAATTAGGTAAAATTTCATTCGCGTGATGTCTTCTTTATTTATTTATTAGTAACACAAACAGGAATAAAATAATGCAATGTAGTACCAGATACATATCAGAACATACATTAATTATAATGATGACAAATTATTTCCTGCAAATAGAAAGCTCCATAAAATTTGAAATATTACTAATGCAGTGGTAATGACTAGAGGATTGCATACAAATTAGCAAGGAGTCCATTTACAAGGTAAAATATTTCGTCCTGTCTTTAACCAAAGTAGGATAATGGATTTGGCTTGCGTGCCGAAAGTTGTCCTCGTGTTATTTATCGTAAGCTCCCTCATTATTTTAACTTTTTATACTTAATGTTACTTATCACGATCAATCCATTTCCTGTTTTCTGCATTTCGGAGTTCCATTTAGATATCATTTTTCTCCAAATCGCTCTCCTAACCCTTCCCAGAACCGCAAATACCAACTAATTAACACATTTAAAAATAACTGAAGCCTTATATACAGAATGGTCCTAGATTCTCTCCCAACACTTGTAAACATGCAGGATATCAAAAAATGAGAGTAGTTATATAAAGTTTTTGCCGGAAATGGATAATATCCTGAAATGGGATGGCAGATACCATATATTTTACGACATCTGGGCACTAATTTAAGCAGTATTTTAGTAATTCCGCTATACCACCTACAACTTTTTATTTTTATCTCATTTTAAATATATACTTTTTTAATATTGATGTCTATACAATTAAGGAAAAAATGTACACACACTTGTTTAATTTTGATAAATTGAATGCTTTGAAATCATAAATTTCGAACAATTTTTTTAAAAGTAGGTCGACTATTTATAAGTTAAAACTTAAAATACTACTTTTCTAAATTGAAATACATTTCCTCCTCATATTTTTATTAGTCCGTATAGAACAATATTTTTAAAACTTGATTTTTAAATATAGTCGACGTTTTGTTTTTATTTAAGAACAAATTTTATTAATCCAACTTGTATTATATTATCATCCATTTTGTCAATAGGGTTGTTGACCAAATTTCAAAAAGTAGATAATATAATTGTACATGTACTAACTAGTGTGTATACACAATTAGAGATTGAGAAATAAGCCAGAACAGTTTTAAAATAATTGTTTAAAACATTTTTAAAACGGCTATTACGTCATAAGGGGCACCTTGTAGTGAAATTATGTGCAAATGATTGCATAAAGGAAAAAAATTGGAAGAAGACGCTCTGTCAACACTGTCAGTAGTGTCAGTCTGTCAGTGACACTGTCATATAAAATATTTTCAAGTCTATGAGTTATTTTCCTTAATCTTCGAATTCCTTTATTAAGTCAAATTATTATTTAGTAATAATCATTTAAGGTG